AGTAACCACGAAAAGAACAGTTGTGTGGAGTGGCGACAACGACGATGTTAACGGATAACGAATCAGAGAAGAGGGAAGTGTGCAAACCCGACTGAAAATGGTAGAATCATATATCACGAGCCTTCAGCTCCTCCGATCTCCCCACTGTTACGGTGTCAAGCTTGCGGTTCTTGTATTCATCGACGATGGGAACAAGGACGGGTTGCTTGGGGGTGCAAGGCGGTGATAAGGTGGCAGCGGCGGCTGGAGGAATGTAGGTGTAAGGGTGACGGCTGGAGGATATGTTTAGGGTTAGGGTTAGCATGAAGGAAACGAGGGGGGGGGGGGCATTGGGTTTAAATCCCGTCCCTTTCAAACTTAATTCCATTTATACAACATTGGTCCCTACCTCCCTAAATCCCTTTCAAATTAAATCCAATGATTACCAAACAGCCCTTGTTTTACGAATTTCTTAACATTTCAAGTCCTAATGTTATAATATAAACCCCAAATTCTAGAAATTATGTCTCGATGTCTTAGGGCTTATTATTTATTTATTTACTTATACTTATTATTTATTTATTTTAATGGAATGTTACACTAAGCTTTGTGTTCATGGTGTGTGTTTAAAATGTTTTTCAGGTACTTCCGGTTCGAAGGGGAAGGGCCCGACATGATGACACAATATCCACCCGTGTTTTGCATTTTATGATTTTGGATTGCACTCTTATAACTATTTTCTACATTGACATACTTTGATGGTTTATGAAATGAATGGTTGATGGTTTTGGCTGTTTTAAAACAAAAATTTTTACTTAGTATTTTTGGGATGTTGCATGAATTCTCCGTGACCATGAAGGACTTCGACGAATCCTTTGAGAAACGCAATGATAAAACTTCCTAACCATGAGTACTTTAATGGTAGCCTACTTTCGTTCTCCTATGCAACAATAAACCTAAACCAAAATATTGTATACCTGAACTATTGTTTCCTCTGTCCCATTGTACTGAAACCCACACAGATCAAATAGACCGATAATCCTCTAAGAGGAATACCCAGTTCTTCCCTACTTAGAGTTCGAACTACCACCGAATGACGTTTTCGAACCACAAATCCTAAAATCGGTTTAACCTGATACATAACATCCTTGACTCTCGGAGTGCATGACACAAAATAAGGATAAACCTTTATACAACAATCAGTCAATTTCAAGGAGACTCTGAATCTCAGATGGAGACCACGTAACCTCCCATAGCGACACCACGTCACACTTAACGAAGTCACCCATAACACCATTTGATTGACGAGGTACCCTAAGGACCAAACCTTGTACACCAGAAACTTGCATTTGAAGAAATGATACCCAACTTCATCCTCCTATGAACCTTCAAGAATCCCCTGAAATAGCTCCGAAAAACCTAGCATAACAGTAGAACTCCCTTATTCAAAACAAAAACATCTCGATGCTACCCTATGACGAGTACCCCTTTTGCGTCCTTTCTCTACTTGTCGCCCCAACTGCGGCTCCCTAAACCCGTTGATCGAGTAACAAAACCTTGAATTCTCTACCCTAAGTGTGATGCTTGGTCGCGCACCAGTTATCCTCATGCTTCGGACTTCCGATCCGACTTTAGAATCAAATTCTTGATCTACATTGGAGACACCGATCCTGTCAAAATTGGTTCGAAGGCTCAACTTGCGACATGATCTCCAATCCGTCCACCGAACAAAAGAACAATCAATCTCAAACATCCTTATACTAAAAGATGGAAAAGATTTGCAACGAACCAAAGTTTACCCCCTTGCGGCAGAAACTGATGTGGAGAACACCATCCCTTTATTATATCTATCGACTGATACGCATCCGATCTCTTCTCCCTCAAACACAGAAAGCTAGACAAACATAACCCCATCGTAGTAAACGACATCCCAAATCATCGGCCGACCACCCATCCTTAGACTGCAATCCTTGAGTCGATTAACACGGTCACTTCCTACTTGATTCATACGACTCAAACTGGTACTACTTCGAACAAGGCCCTCGAGGCCTTAGAATCAACTAACTCACACAGGTGTAATGCCAAGTTTCAGGTATGTTATTTTTTAAGTAAATTTAATAAATTGAAGTTGGATTTATGGTGGCCACGGCGTGGTGATGGAATCCCACAGCGTGGCCAAGGCAAGAGTTTTCATGGCCCTTAAGTTGGGGCCACGACGTGGATACTGTTTAATGACAAACCCAAATCCGGGGTTTGAGCCCCTATTTAAGGAATGTGATGGCTAGGGTTGCCTAACCCTAACCTCATTCACTTTCACTCAGCCTCCAAAAGGAAACCCTAACCTATATTGATAATCTTTGAGTTCTTGTGTGTTTTGGTGGTATTTTGAAGAAGAAGGCATCTTTGAGCTTGGTTCCAGCAATCAAATCGACTCACCAGCCTTGAGCACATTTCTGGACCATTGTAAGTCCCCAAGATCCAACCTTTATGTTATTTACCTTTAGATCTAGCCCTTTTGTCCCTAAATCTTATTGGTGTGATAATTTGGATGGTTGGATCTCATAAAGTTAGCAACTTTATGAATCTATGTGATCATTCTAGTACTATATGTTCCATATATGAGGATCTATATAGTTTTTGGTTCCATGCTCAAGTTTAAGCCTTTATTGTCATGTTTTTGACCTATTATGGACGGGACATGCATTGGACATGCATGTCCATAAAGCTACGATTTTTAGAGGTTATTTGGAGTATGGAATCATTATGGAAACTTTGGATGTGCAACTCTATACATTTGGTGCTTAATGGGTCTTTATGCTTTTGGTCACTCTTAAGGAATTAGTGTTTGGAATCTTGACTTATCAAGGAGTCTTAATGTATAAAGTTGGAAACTTTATCCATCAAGACCATGAGAAGGACCATATCTAAGCTTTGGAGCTCTTGAAGTTATGGGAAAATGGCTTAATGGTTAAGCTGTCCAGACCACTCCCCACGATGTGACCTTAGGTTGCCACGACGTGACGACTTGGTAGAGACCCGTCTGCTTTGTTGTTTAGCAGCCACGACGTGACGACGAACTGAAGTGACTTTTGACTTTGAACGTTGACCGTTAACTTTGACCAATGCTGACTTTAGGTCATCTGGGATATTTTGAGTGGTAGATTGAGGCTTGGTCACTGGGTGTTGTACAGGTGACCCGTAGAGCTGGTAGTTGGAGCAACATTCAGTTCTGCTATCTTTCTGACATTGATGTGAGTTTTTTTCACTTTACTTGTGGGTCGAAGGCACCAATGCCGACCCATTGGATTATGTATCCTGGTATATTGGATGATGTTATGATGGTTATATGATAAACTGGTAGATCTGTACAATTGCCTGTGTTTACTGGTTATGTGTTAGACTGGTAGATCTGTATGATTACATGTACTCGATGGTTATTGATTGTTATTGTATATGTCGACATATTATGTTTCGTTGGGTTGAGGCGGTCCTGCTTTGTGCTGAAAGCAAAGATACCCGAGGCGGTCCGGTCAGGCCGAAGGCCTAGAGAGCGGTCCAGATAGGTTGTATGCCCTGCGATACGGTCCAATCATTCCGAAGGCTCATATATGCATGTTGTTATCTGTTTGGTTGTGTGCGGTACTTTGATGGAACTCACTAAGCTTTGGCTTACAGTTTAAACTTGTGGTTTCAGGTACTTCAAAGGACAGGAGCAAGACGAATGCTTGACCGTGCACATCATCCTGGATTTTTATGAGATTATGGTTTTGGGATACTTTGATTCGTGTTTATGACTTTTGAAAACTATGTTTTGTAAACACTTATGGTTTTGGATTGGTTTCAAAAATAAAAAAATTTCACCTTGATTTTTGGGATGTTACAACAGGTTTGCACCATTTAGACATAATCTGCCATGACCACTATTTAGTGCTTATTTTACGACCACTAAATGATTTAAAAAACCTATTTTTACCTAAAATTCTAAAATTTTTACATGGGTTTTGAGCTTAAAAAGACAAATTTACGTTAAATTTTATGATATATATTTTAAATCTCCTGGTTGATATTTCTTTGTACCATTCAATTAGGATTGACATGCTTTAGTGAATCCCTCATGGCATATTCAATAAGTTGGTGGTAGTTGGGATTCATTTTATGAAATCTAAAGTTCTTAAACGAGTTGACCGCCAGTTAACTTATTTTTACAAGTTGGCCTAAATTTCTTAGGTTCCCACCGCCTATAAAAAAAAAAACTTCTTTATATAAATACATAAAATAAAGTTTATATGGTATAATTGATATTACTAATTACAAATAATGTTTACTAACGAATACTAAACAAAAAGAAAGGTTAGAACTTATTAAAAAGAAATTGCCTTTTAGAGATAATTAATGATAAAAAGTGTTACAACTTTTTCAATGGTTGAACATAGTATAAACTATAAACAATAGATTGTATAAACTAAAAACTTACTTTTATTCAACTCCAGTCTGGGAAGATTTTTATTTAAAAAAAAAAATCAACTTGCTTCTATTTTCTCATAACAAAAATCCTGATTCACAGACTTTATTATTTGCAAAAATTAAAACATTTTTTTCAATGGTTGAACATACTATAAAATATAAACAATAGACTGTATAAACTAAAAACTTACTTTTACTCAACTCCCAATTTTGGAAGATTTTTATTTTAATAAAAAAACAACTTGCTTCTATTTTCTCATAACAAAAATCCTGATTGACGGACTTTATTATTCGCAAAAATTAAAACATTTTTCTTTGATGTTTTCTTCAGACTATAGCATAGAGAATAGAAAAAGAGAAGAAGCTTGACAAATTATGCAAGAATAATATAGAAAAATTAAAAGAAAACAATATGATCTAATTTAGAGTTGAATTTCTAAAATAAAAGAAAACAATATAATTTAGAGCCGTTAGATTCTTTAAGGGAGTATCCAAGCTCCAAAACACGAAGTCCAATCTCCTTCCATTAATAACGTTACAACCCTCTTATTTAAAACCACTCCCCACTTTTACATCTCATAAACCTAGCCGTTACTTCTTCTCTTTCTCTCTGTTCTTCACTTTCTCACAACAAAAGCTTCAACTCAATGGCAGCTGCGTCAATGGAATCCCCATCTCCAGATCCCCTCTTTAAGGTTTGTTTTAATCTAATTGTCATCTTTTTTCTTCACAAAACCAACCCACTAATTAATGTCCTTTGTTTTTCGAATAGCAGGGATCAACTAACATCACGGGTTCATCCCCGATCATCAGTCCGATCTCTGATAAGCATTTCTGGAGCATTCTTCGAAATCGGATCGATACGCTTCTTGAGAACCAGAAAGGTCCATCTTTGGTAAGAGGGTTAGGTTGAATTTGATTGATTTTATGTTTTTGTTTCTGTGTTTTGATTTTTTGTTGGTTTTGGGAAATTTGGTTGTAGAATTACGAAGGGAAGAATCGTGCGAAAAGATTAAAGGAAGACTCGTTGCTTTTATTAAGGGGATTTGATTCTGTTGCTAGTTCCCTTTCTCAGCTTTCTAACAATCTTGACAGTGCACTTCAGGTACGAACTTAATACATCCAGATCATGTCGTCTTTACTTGATTTCTTTTCGGAATTTGAAAATTGGGGAAAAAGGACTCTTTTATCTGTCTGAATCATTGTTTTCGGTTTTTAAAAGCTAAAAAAGAATCAGGCTAAATCTTGTCTCTTGTGAGTTCTCTATTGGCTTATGATCTTCATCTTCTATTGGGTCGTAAGAACAAATTGAAATTGAGTCACTTCTGAAAAATTTACAGGGAGCAAAAGATCTTGCCAGACCACCAACACTGTCTGATGTTCTTCATAGTTCTTTAGAACAAGCAAAAAGAGCTCAAAGTTCATCAAAGGATGAGGAGGAAGAAGATGATAATGAGAGTTTAGATCCCAACAGAAGAGGGATGAAAAGGAAGTTGGATTCCGAGGAAGTTTCTGATGAAAACCACGATGACACTAAAGAATTTGGGAAACTCAACCGAGCCAAAAATGTGAGTAAACTAAACTCTTGAGTCTTGAATAATTATTTAAGCACAAACTTCTCTGATGGTTATCTTTGATTCATCAAGATTGCAATTTCGATGGCAAAAAGAGCAGGATTCTTGGCTAGAGAAATGAAATCAATGAAATCGGATCTTTGTTTTATGCAAGAACGATGCAGCATTCTTGAAGAAGAAAACCGGCGGCTTCGTGACGGATTTGTGAAGGGAGTTCCACCGGAGGAAGATGATTTGGTATGTTCTAATTTCTATGCGCGCATTATTGGGTGAAAATTGTGTGGAACAAATAAAATGAATTTGTCGATTGTCCAGGTGAGGCTTCAGTTAGAGGCATTGTTGGGTGAAAAATCGAGATTGGCTAATGATAACGCAAACCTAACGAGAGAAAACCAATGTCTCCGACAGCTTGTGGAGTATCATCAACTTACTTCGCGACAGGATGAAGAGGAGGTGGAGGAGGAGGAGGACTACGAAAAGGTGATTAAGGGTGTGTGTTTGGACTTCTCAGAGCTTGAGGAGGATCTCGCCGGAGATGATGCCTCAGAATTACCGGAAACAGGGAGATATGGGATCTCCGACCATTATGACGAGGACGAAAGATAGAATGGGATTGTTGACCAAAAATGGTTTTCTTGTTATAAACGAAAAAAGTGCTTTTGCTCAAAATGATCAATGAATGAATCATTCATATGTTATTTTAACCAGCTGGTGCATATTCATGTGAAATACTATATAAAGTTTGATCAATTCAAAATAACCTATTCCGGTTCAATCAGTTATTTTTCAAAATAATTTTTTTAGTTCCACAATGATTTTTTTTTTCTTCAAGAATACAAATGCAAAATAAACTTCAAAACGGAACATAACTAGTTTTGGTCCGAATTTAATTATTTAGTTTTGGATAAATTATATAAAAATCATTTCGGACCTAAAATATCTGTTTTTGAAAATAATTGATTCATGGTCATTGTGGATTGATCAACCTAAAAGAATGTAGTGAATGCAACATATTTAGTACATAAATATGCACATAGTAATATAACATATTGAAAACATTATAAAAAAGTAATGCTATAATTGTAGATGAATATGAAGGGTTGTAGATGCATTGTAGATTAATATTAGCAACCTTTTTTTTCAAATATCTCATACACATTCTTACTATGTTCAAAAGGAAACATCGATTACAACCAAATAGAAGAACTAATGTTTGGAGGACAGAAGGTTAAAACGATCATGTTACAGTTATAATAGGCCAGTCACACGACCGTGCCACGTGCAAACAACCCTTAACCTCCAAAAACAACAACGAAACTCATCCAACTCAATTTTAACACTTCGAAATCGATTTGTAATGGCTTAAAATTGATTAGTAGAGTTCAAAACATTTTTCTAGTAGAGTTCAAAAGATTTTTCAAGCATCAAAATTCATCCTAATCAACACTATTAATGTGATCTATTCAACAATGAAGAAGGTCATCATCCTCGACTTCAATTTAAGCTTTAACACATTGTTAATGACCTTTATGTTGGATTTCCTTCAATGATTTGAACATATAACACTTTAATATATCCAAATCATATCAAAACCTTCATTTTATAATATTTTTCAAATGGATCAACCGATCAAAAGATGATCCACCATTGCTAGAACTCAATTTGTAATTCAACGTTTCATAACTTCATGATTCACCATTTGATTACTTCAATCGAATGGATATGGAGCAATCAAATCCAAATGCAAATGATATGAAATTAGTGATTACTCTAATTTTTTTTTATAATACATGAATAATTTGGGCGATTCCCCATTGTTTCTTTTCATGATATACAACACACAACTTAAACGGATAATGATATATCTCAATTGTTCCTTTTCATGAAATTGATGTTGAAACTTGAAAGAAAACATCCAGGGCATGAGGCAAAGCCTCATGTTTGCAGCGGGGGATTAGTCGGTGCGCGAAAGTTGGCCCGGAAACCCTTGTTAGGGAAGTTCCCTTTCCAAAAAACTTGAAAGAAAACATTAATCATACTTTAGTTTTGAATGCTTCCCATGAATTGAATCCTATTCCTCTCTAGATCGTCAAATGAAGAAGAAAAACAAGTCCAACGTGTTATCCATAGCTATCCCTTGGACACGACTAGTCCCTCTACTCAGACTATATTATGTAAAATATACCCTAGATGGGACATACTTAACATTAGTGGTACCTAATTGAATAGGTTAATTTTCGTTTAGTCCGTAAATTTAAAGGAGATAAGCCTAAAATTAACCCAATAATAAGCCCGATACAAATAGCTAGACGAATCCAACACAAGAGAATAAACTTAACATTAGAGTAAACTCGATCAATGATGCAAGCTAAACCAATTACCAAAGACCATTCAAAATATTTAGGCGAAGTAATTTAATGGCCAAAATCCAAGATACGGCCAATTCATAAGATTGTCGCAAACCTTCATAAGATTGACGCAAACCATAAAGCCCAAACTTAAGATGAATAACAAAATCATCACTTATCAAAATATTTTAATCCTTAAAATCAATTTATACTAATTAATCTCACATATATTAGCACAAAGTTTTCAACTTAAATAACCAAAGTTCATAAAATATTAAGATACTTCTAATTTTCATAAATTCTAAAATATCACCTAAAATAAATTTTCATCCAAACGATCCATTCTCGAAAAGTCAATTCTTATCTTTAAAACTTTCAATATTATTTTGTTAAGATTTATGGAGTCATGAACAAATTGACAAGTTCCTAAGAGTTCAAGGGTCATAAATGAAACTTGGAAATTAAAACAATTGAATTGTTGAATGGACGGTGGAATCAATTGTTTAATATTTATTGTCACTATCTCTAATGTGAACGCAACAATTGAACATTTGAATTGGACGCGAGCTTTTGGTGGAATAATCAATGGACGGCTAAAGAAAAATCTACATATTTTTCAATCTTTGCGGCAATCTTGTGCATATTGCGGCTCACAAATATACCTATATATATGCATGTATGTTTTGCATATTTTGTGTGCAAAAAAAACTTGAGAGAACATCAAGTGTAGAGTGTCAAGCCAATTGTAATTTTGTGAGTTTTAATAAAATTCTCTAGTTGCAGCCCGTGGACGTAGGATTTGCACCGAATCCGAACCACGTAAAATCCTTGTGTTCTTCTTGTTTTATTTTCGTGAGTTTGTGTGTGTGTGATAGTGTGTTTCCGCTGCGTGTACCCTATCTCAATTCCTAACAACTGGTATCAGAGCCAGATTAGCGAGGTTTGGAGGGTACAATCATTTTTTTTTTATCACGCACGAGTGTACCTGATTTGTATCTTGTTTGTCGTAATGGCTGAAGACAAGGTTGTAATCGAAAAGTTCAACGGTTCTGATTTTAACTGGTGGAAAATGCAATTAGAAGCATTGCTATGTCAGAAAGACTTGGACATGGTACTCGGAGACAAACCGGAGAAAATGGAAAAAGCTTTTGAAGATGCGTGGAACTCAAAGGACAAAAAAGCCAAGGCGATTATTACATTGTCGTTGACGAAGAGCGTTGCTTTCAACATCATGAATGAAACCACGGCGCGTGGTATGATGGAGGCTCTGTCAAATATGTATGAGAAACCATCGGCGGCTAACAAGGTGTTCTTGATGAAGGAGTTGTTCACTACAAGGATGAATGAGGAAGGCTCAGTTACGGTTCACATTAACAATCTAAATGCAATTCTGTCCAGATTATCATCTGTGGGAATTAAATTTGATAACGAGACTCAAGCATCACTGCTACTAGCTTCTCTACCTGATAGCTGGTCCGGAACAGTTACTGCTGTTACGAGTTCCGTGGGGACCAGTGGTATGACTTTTGAAGGGGTTAGAGATTTGGTTCTTGGCGAAGATATCAGACGCAAGAATCAAGGTGGATCTTCTTCTTCTGATTTATTAAATGTCGGAAGAGGTAGAGGGAATAGCAGGAGCAGTGGGAGTCAGGAAAGAAGTTCATCTAGAACTAAGAAGAATGTGAAGTGCTGGAACTGCCAGGAGGTGGGACATGTTAAGAGTCAATGTCCAAAGAAAGAATTGAACATTACCGGTGCTGAGAGTGTGTCTGAGGATGATGCATTGATACTCAGTATGGAAAGTTCTGTAGACTCTTGGGTTATGGATTCAAGGGCTTCGTTTCACGCCATGGACAACGGGGAAACGATGGTGAATCTAAAAGAAGGAGATTTTGGAAAGGTACGTTTGGCAAATGACGAGATGCTTCAGGTAACGGGCATGGGAGATATTGATCTAGTTACTTCATTAGGAACTACATGGAGCCTGAAGAATGTTAGGGTTATTCCGGAGCTGAAGAAAAAATTGATTTCTGTTGGTCAGCTGGATAAACAAGGACTGGAAGTAAGGTTTGGTGGTGGTAAATGGATGGTGGTCAATGGTAATTCGGTGATTGCTCAAGGTTTGAAGCGTGGGTCATTGTATATGGTTGAGGTACCTGATGAGGGAATTATGACCGTCCCTGTTAAGCAAGACAAAATCTGGTTCGCTAAATCTACGGCTAAGAGAGTTCATTTTGCAAACATGAATTATGGAGCCAAAGAGATGTTAGCTGAACGAGTTCAAAAGTCTAAACCATTCAGGGGATTCTGTGACAGTGGGAGCACGAGACGTGTTCCTGGTACAGTTACAAAGAGCCGTTGGGTTTTGAAGACTAAGACTGAAAATTTCTCTCCTGTTGGATGTTTGCTATGTTTGGAGAGTGTTAGTGGTCCTCGGTGTATCTCTGGATCCGGTGGAGTGTCCAAACCAGTTGAGACAGAGGATGAGTTGGTGGCGGGATTAGCCATGGCTGAGTTGGAGCTAGTGGGAGCTTCAACTGGCCCTTTCTAGTAATTGATGATGAGGGGCGGCTGCAACTAGAGAAATCAGACTAAGTTTTAGCTTGTTCTTTGGAACTGGAAGCTTGAAGGACTTGGTTGTTTTTTAAGATTACTGGAGTAATTGAGAGTTGGATGGCGGAGAAAGACTAATTTGTTCAAGTCTCCAAGTGGGAGATTGTTAAGATTTATGAAGTCATGAACAAATTGACAAGTTCCTAAGAGTTCAAGGGCCATAAATGAAACTTGGAAATTAAAACAATTGAATTGTTGAATGGACGGTGGAATCAATTGTTTAATATTTATTGTCACTATCTCTAATGTGAACGCAACAATTGAACATTTGAATTGGACGCGAACTTTCGGTGGAATAATCAATGGACGGCTAAAGAAAAATCTACGCATTTCTCAATCTTTGCGGCAATCTTGTGCATATTGCGGCTCACAAATATACCTATATATATGCATGTATGTTTTGCATATTTTGTGTGCAAAAAAAACTTGAGAGAACATCAAGTGTACAGTGTCAAGCCAATTGTAATTTTGTGAGTTTTAATAAAATTCTCTAGTTGCAGCCCGTGGACGTAGGATTTGCACCGAATCCGAACCACGTAAAATCCTTGTGTTCTTCTTGTTTTATTTTCGTGAGTTTGTGTGTGTGTGATAGTGTGTTTCCGCTGCGTGTACCCTATCTCAATTCCTAACATATTTAGTAGAGTAAACTACGCGATTCGTCCCTTGTGCAAGTGCCAAAAAGCACGTTTTGTCCTCATTTTCAAAAATTAACTCGGACCGTCCCTTGTATTGTTAAAATTTGCACGCTTCGTCCCTAAAATCATTTACCAAACATAAAATGTCTATTTTGCCCTTTTCTATTTATTTTTGATTTATTTTTAGATTGTTATTATTATAAATTATATTAAAAAAATCATTAAATAATTGGGCCCACCTCATATACCCACTTCTTCGTATCTCCTGTAAATCACAATTTTCCCTCTTCATATCTTTTCTTTTAAGAACCTAAATCACCACCCCTCTTCTTCACAAGTATTGATGCACTGTCACTCTCAGTTCTTCTCCATCTCCGGTGAGAGAATACCATCGTCGTCAGCACCTACATGCCACCGTCGCTGGAGCTACAAACACACACAGAAAAAACCATCGTTGACGCCACCGCACACCACCATCGTCGTCGCCTGCTGCCCTGCTTAGTGCTCACCATCACTGCAAGCTCCCTCTCTTTTTTGAGTGTTGCGCGTTTAAAACATCTCCTCTCTTTCTCTCTACCTCTCTTAGTTACATTACACCACCTCCGACAACTCTCTATTACTCGTCATTCTTCTTCAACACCTGCTCTCCTCTCTCACTGTGTCTCATCTCCGACCTGCAGGCTTTGACGAGCCCTTCTGTGTTGCCACCAACATGATCTTCTTCCCTGTCGACATCCATTATACCACCACCGTCTTTCCAGTCAAGTTTCCCCCTTAATGGATTTTCATTTTTGAAATCTCAAACGGGTTAGAAAAGAAAGAACCATACACCCCTTCTTCTTCGATTTCAAATGGTTCAGTCTCGATTTCAGAAAATCCCCCTTCTGTGAGATAATGAACCGACGGGATTGGTGGTGGTGAACGATTTAGGGGTACGATTTTGGTGGTGGTGAATGATAAAGAAGTGCAGCATAGGGTTTCAGATACGATTGAAGGGCGTGAATAGGTGATTAGAAAAAGGTAAATCGGGGATGTGAAAAGTCGTTGCTTTGATCAAATCTGTTACTTTGATCAACTGAAGTGGGTATGGAGTTGGACTTGAATCAAGTGCTCAAATGGAAATTGTGGGTTAAAAGATTTGGTTTTACATCAAATTGGAGCATCTGGGTTTCGTTTAATGGTGAGAAAATTTGGTTTTGATGATGGGGGTGGTTGTTGTGAGGGCGTCATCGTCACCTGTGCACTCCCATCTCGTTCCTTGTGGTGGTCGGGGGAGGTGAAGGGGGATGTCGGTAGTGGTGCTTGGGATGAAGGTCGATTTCAATGGGTTTAGGGTTTGACCGGTGGTGGTGTTGTTTCGTGTTCGTTGGAAATGGAGAGTGAGAGAACACGGTGAGAATGAGAGATATGAAGGGGGGGAGGGGGGGGGGGGGGGGTTGGATATTTGTTTCTTTTTTAAACCTGAAAATGATAAATAAATAAAATAAAATTAAAAAAGAAATCACTGAAGGGCAAAATGGTCATTTTATGTTTGTAGGGACGACCCGAGTGAAAAAATAATTATACAGGGATGGTCCGAGTTAATTTTTAAAAATAGGGACTAAACGTGTATTTTGACACCTATACGAGGGACGATTCGTGTAATTTACTCTATTTAGTATTTACAAAAAATCTAATTTATTTGCTAAAAATTTACACTTAAAGGGTAAAACGTTTAACCTAAATTGTGGATTTACACATGAAACCATCATCAATTTCAAACATAAAGGTGTTGTTCGGCACACAACTTTTGGGAGCTTCTGACTTCTAGTTTTAAAAAAAACGCTAGTAAAAAAAAACCTCGTTCGACGACGTGAGCGTTTAGCTTTTAGGCTACACAAAACGCTCCAAAATCAAAAGCTACCAGCTACCCACTATCAGCTAGTTTTGCCGAACATGCCTAAAGATTACGAGAATTTTTTGACTTGATCTTTCGTGTCCCATGAGTTATGTTAACTCAACTACACCTCTATATAGTTGTAGACTTCAATATGATATACATGTTTTACAAAAAGTAAACCTATGAGAAACAATTCAAGGTATAAAGTTTTATAAACTTCATAATTATCAGGTAATCAGTTGAAATTGATTGAATTTAAGAGTTATTGTTGTAGTTTATGTTTTGCTTAAGTAAAAACTGCAACGATCATCTGTTCGGAAAAAATAGAGACCTAACAACCTTGGTTCCTAAATCATATGTTTGAATTGATAAAGAAGCATGAAGAATTTTGACCGATTAATGAAAAAAAGGAGAAACTTAATTAGAATACAAGTTTTTGCATAAGTAGGACATATATTTGCTAGATAGAAGATGCCACTTTAATGAGGTTTGTTCATGTAAACTTGTAAAAAGTTGCTAACCAATTTCATGTGGTAAAAAATTTGCTTTTCTAAAACATTTTTGTAATATAAATGATTTTTAAGAAAACTTTTGTAAATATGAATGATTTAAATGTTTTTTTTTTAGTAAAATGGTGGCTTTTCATGTAATAATATTTCTGAAAATTATCCTAAATTTAGTTACATGAAAAGACACTAGACATTTAATATCAAAAACCCATTTAATTGGGGTTTGGTTTGATTAAGAAACCAAGTTGAACTCACAGCTAATTAGATCTATGATTTTTATATTTTATTATTAAAAAAAAAAACGTGAAATTAGTGGCGGGAATGGAGGGTTTCTACTAACGACAAATCTACAGAAAGATAAGAAAAACAGAGATCTCAGACCACCTCCACATAAATCTCAAGATAACACACACTTTATCTCTGTGTATGCACATCTTCTTCAACCTTTTGATCCAAAAACCCTAATGGTATCCCTCCTCCACCGTTCAGTTTCAATTTCATTCCACACCCCATCTCACCTCCCTCTCTTCACCCACTTCAACCACCACCACCACCGTACCCCCTCTCTTTTGAATCTCCACCATCGTCACCCCGCCACTTCTCTCATAACCTGCATCGAGAAGAACGGCTCCTTTATCTCAAGCAACAATGACCAACAGCCCCAAAGAACGTTGTTCCCCGGTGGGTACAAGCGCCCGGAAATAAAAATCCCCAATGTTGTGCTTCAATTGAATCCCGAAGACGTGCTGGATGACGGAAAGCTTGTTCTTGATGCTGTTGATCAGGCGGTTTCGGGGCTTGTTGGGGTTGTGGTGTTGAATTGTGGTGATGGAAGTGGGAGGAATTTGTATGATGCTGCTTGTTTGTTGAAATCGGTGATTAGGGATCGGGCTTACTTTTTGATTGCAGAGAGGGTTGATATTGCTACTGCTGTTAATGCAAGTGGTGTTGTGGTTTCTGATCAAGGTTAGAAATTTTCTATGCATTTAGTCACTGATTTTACCCTAATTTTGAAATGATGCCTATCTATGTGTAGCTTTAGACAACACAAATAATTTATGTATGCTGCAATTCAAAAACAGGTTTACCTGCCATTGTTGCAAGGAATACAATTATGGATTCAAAATCAGATTCGGTATTTCTTCCTCTGATTGGAAGAAAAGTGCAAAGTTTAGATGCTGCCATGAATGCCTCTAGCTTTGAAGGTGCGGATTTTCTAATATACAATAACAATGGAGAAGAAAGCATTGAAGAACCATCAGTTTCCATTATCAATCAGACAAAAATTCCAACATTTTTCACTGTCAACCCCGATAAGAAGGATAAACTATCCAACGAGATGTTATATTTGTTACAATCTGGAGCAAGTGGATTAGTTGTTTCATTAGAAGGACTAAAGTTGCTAGGCAACGATGCTTTGAACAAGATCTATAGCATGCAGGCATCTGATAAAAGAACAGAAGCTTTACGTGATGGTTTGGTGTTGGAGTCAGAAAATGGTGTTTTGGGTGAAAAGGGGTTCACAGGGTTTGTGAATTTGGAGGATAGAGAAGTAGAGTTGATAGAAACCGAGAGATCGATGCTGCTTGAAGCCATTGATCTTATCCAGAGAGCTTCGCCTCTGGTGATCTTTTAATCTTTATAATTTCGTAGCCAAATCGATTTTGAGTTTTAATACTTTTTCATTGATTTTTAATAAATGTCAGATGGAGGAAGTTTCGCTTCTCAGGGATGCTGTTTCACACCTCAGTGAGCCATTCTTACTGGTTATAGTGGTAATTGTGTGCTGAACTTCAACAACTTCTGATTCCGCGGGTATAAATTGGTATTAGCTCTGAATTTCAAATGATTTTCTTTTTTCTTTTTTTGTTACAAAATCACTTTCAAATACTCATTTAAAACCGGGGAATTTGCAACGTAGTAAATTTCTAAAAATTTTCTGTTGTTTAAGTTTAACCTCAGAGTTGTATTATGATGTATGTATACCTTGTTGTTAAATGTTAAGTAAGTAGTATTAACAGTTTGGTACGATTTTCACTAAGATTTCTTTCATGTTGTCATGATTTGATAGGGCGAATTCAATTCTGGAAAATCAACTTTCATAAATGCTCTTCTTGGGAGAAAGTACTTAAAAGACGGAGTTGTCCCTACAACAAATGAGATAACCTTTTTACGATATTCAGAGCTTGATTCTAACGAACAGCAGCGTTGTGAAAGGCATCCAGATGGGCAATACATATGTTATTTACCTGCACCGATCCTTGAGCATGTGAGACACTAATTATATATATTTATATTTGATTGCAATTTATTAGAAAATATTTAATTTAATTTTGGTGAAACTGAAACAGATGATGATTGTTGATACGCCAGGGACGAATGTGATTCTTCAAAGACAGCAGCGCCTGACCGAAGAATTTGTGCCCCGGGCAGATTTGCTTCTTTTTCTTATTTCTGCTGATCGTCCATTGACTGAAAGCGAGGTATCTTCTAGATTTTTGTTTTCTGAAAGTAACTAGAAAATATCTTTTTTATTTTTATTATTATCTTACTTGAGATATTCTTGTTATGTTTAAGGTTTCTTTTCTGCGTTACACACAACAATGGAAGAAAAAGGTCGTGTTTGTACTCAATAAATCCGATATATACCAAACTCCCATTGAGGTATCATACATCCCTTTAATCTCATTTTGAAGGATATTTCTAATTTTGATATTATACTTCAAAACTAATCATTCACATTCTGTTTCTTGAACTTGCAATTTTAAATCATTCTGAAACATTTACAGCTTGAGGAAGCAATTGGATTCATCAAAGAGAACACACAAAAGCTGTTAAGCACCGAAGTAACATTGTTTCCTGTATCTGCTCGATCTGCCCTTAAACGAAAACTGTCAACTATATCTGAAGGGAATGTAGATAAGGATTCTTATTGGGAAACAACTAGTTTCTATGAGCTTGAAAAGTTTTTATACAGCTTCTTAGATGTGTCAACAAGCACAGGAACGGAAAGAATCAAACTGAAACTGGAAACACCAATTGCAATTGCAGAACAACTTCTTTCAGCATCACAAAAGCTTGTGGAAAGAGAATGCCAACAGGCGAAAAAAGACTTGGTTTCAATTGACGAGTTAATAAGCAGTGTAAAAGACTATGCATCCAAGATGGAAACCGAAAGCATATCTTGGAAGAAACAGTCTTCATCGCTGGTATACTTATTATTTTATTTTCTTTTAATTTGGATTTTATGTTTTGGAATGTGTTTGATGTGTTGAAATAAATGCAGATAGATAAAACACAAGCACGCGTTGTGCAGCTTATTATGTCAACTCTGCGGTTATCAAATCTTGATATTGTGGTGTCGTATGTTTTTAGAGGAGGTAATACTGCCCCAATGCCTGCTGCTACAACCATTAGAAATGACATCATTGGTCCAGCGCTATTGGAATCACAGGTATGCACTTACTTCCTTTTTTTTTTTTAATTTTTCATAAAGGGTGAAAATAGTCATTTTGCATGGAACAAGGTCCAAAATCATTAAGTAACATCAAAATAAGGACCAATATTGCAAAAATCAGCTCTACTCAATATATTGACACATCATGATCTAAAAATGCTGGCTCTTGTTTTTTGAAGCCAGTGTTAGATGAGTTTGAACGAAAAGAATAAGGTTATAGGAATTGGCATTTTATTCAGATTTCTTGATTTTATGTTTTTTTGCAGAAATTACTAGGGGAATATGGTGAATGGCTCCGATCAAATAATGCGCGTGAAGTAAAATTTTATGAGGAAAGTTTTGAGAAAAGATGGGCCTCATTTATGAAGTCAGGCAATCGATATTTGTTTGAGACTCGAAAATTGGTTGAGAGTAAAAATGAATTCAGTATCCAACAATTAGATGACTTCAGTGCTGCTGCTGCTTCCAAACTATTTGAGCAAGAAATCCGTGAAGTGGTCAGCTTCCTTTTATAATTATTTAAATAAATATCCGGTTATAATGAATAAAGCAATTTAGGAATTTATTAAAAAAAAAAAAAAAAAAAAAAAAAAACTAACATTTTACTCAAATCTTGTTAAATTTTGCAAGTGCTAATTAGTCTTTTTTTATTTTTTGTGCTAATAAAGTTCTTAGGGACATTTGGTGGAATAGGAACAGCCAGTTTATTAGCTTCACTTTTGACATCTGTCCTACCAACCACTTTGGAAGATCTTCTTGCTCTTGGTCTTTGCTCTGCTGGCGGGTATTATATTTTTCAATAATAGCAACATACTTTTGCTTATTAGCATCCTACTTTGCTACTAGAAAGAAATGAAAAAAAGTAGATTGCTATTTCTTCCAATGTAAAATGACCTGACTAAAATTAAAAATAATTTTTTTTTGTTGGGTCATGTGATAGTTACATAGCGATTGCGAATTTTCCGTTTCGAAGGCAAAAAGTGGTGGAAAAAGTGAAGAGGACTGCGGATAACTTGGCACGTAAAATTGAAGAAGCAATGGAGAGAGATTTGTTGGAGACAAGTGAGAGTCTTGAAAGCTATGTTAAGCTTGTTGGTAAACCATATCAGGATTCAGCACAAACTAGATTAGATGAACTTGTGATGATTCAACAAGAATTGACAAAAATGGAGGAAAGAATCAAACGGTTACAGATTGATGTCCAAAACCTCCATATGCCATTATGATATCATAGGCAATGCTGTTCTTGAATCTTTATAAGTTTGCATTTCAGGCGTGTGTTGTGAGATGCAATTGAACAAGCTTTCGTATAGCTAATAAATTTGATTAATTTTAATGGTAATTGTTGTTATTGAAAGCTCGTTTCATGTTTTCTTGACAAGCTTATATAGTTATACATATTGAAATATAAACATTATCCTCATCGCCATGTTATTAAGTTTTTTTTTTTTTTTTTTTTTTTTTTATTAATAAAGGTAAGGGAGAGGAAGGGAAGAAAGGAATTGGAAGGGAAATAGAAGTAAATAATTGTGTTCTTGAGTTGAAGGAAAAATAGAAGAAAAGTTGTGTTCTTAAGCTGCTAGAAAAGAGAAGGAAATCAACATTCTTATAGTTTTGCCCTTCTTTGAGAGAAAAGAGATTTGTTGCATGGGTAAAAATGTAACTTACGAACATTCCCCTATCTTCCCCTTCTAATTCGCCCAAAACTAGAAGGATAGATTTCAATGCTATTTTGTCCTTCATTTCCCTTCCATTCTATCCTTAAAAATAAAACCAATAACATGTTGGATTTTTTTTTTCCCGTTTCATTCCCTCCTAAAATGAACTTGAAAACAATTAAATGTGTGGGCCCTAAGTTCCAAACAATGGACTACCCTGACTATCCATTTTTTCAACATTCGTTAGAATCATTATCCATTTTTTTCATTGGAAACCGACCATTAGTCTCGATAACTAATTTAATAAATGTCAAATCTTCTAACTGTGCTTTTTGTAACTCAATTAATTATTTATGTATCAATTAGTTGTTGGTTGATCGGTTTTTTTAGCAAATTTTATTCAGTTATAAATCAGAATTAATTATACAAATAGAAAACATATTTACATTACAAATTTATAATTTATAATTTTGAATCGTAATGAAAATTATGATTAAATGGCAAATCATAGCAAAAATATGTTATCATAATGTTTGTCAAATCATAACAATAGTTATTGTATCCTAACGGATATGATTCAAATTACAAAAAAATAAATATGAATATTGGTGTATTACTTTTTTAATAAAAATAAAATCTTGCTTATAATCAAATAAATTTTGTTGGAAAAGAAGGTTTTAAACTACTCTATGCGTTATTTGTTATTTGTTACCAACTTTTCCTTTGAATCCCATATTCAACTGAAAAGGGGGGGAGGGCAAAATCTACCCATGACTCACTGTTTGTGGTCACGGTCAATCTGAGGGGTATGATCACTGAATGTTTATTGAAAAAGTGACACTCTGCACATCGTTTTCACTACATCCTAATTACAACACCACAAACCTTTAGAAATGATCAACACTCTACATTACTAATATTTCTTTTTACTCCAACATATATATAACATTATAATTAACATTATACAACTTCAAATTAAATTAATTTGATAGTTTTATATACTTTGCAGCCAAAAGCATTAAAAGCACGCTTCTTTTCTTTTTCTTTGTTCAAGATTATAAAGTGGGTCGTGGTGGTTTAGAGAGTGTTTCACTAAGCTTAAAAAATAATTTTTTTTTAAACTTATTATCGGTTCCACACCTATATAACATATATAAGTTAAAAAAAATGTTTGGGTATGATTTTTTGTAAAAAAAAAGTTTATAGGTGTTTGAGACTTCTAGCAAGTCATTTTGCAAAAAAAAAAAAAAGTTTATTACCCTTCTTATCAAAAACTCCTAAAGCTAGAAGGTTTGTTACCACATCCAAAGAGTGGTGTCACACTCATTTTTTAAGAATTTAGTTTTTTTTTTTAAAAAAAAAACTAAATTTTAAAAAACAAAAACTTCATTTTTAATAAAAACATTTCATTACTTAGAATTAAAAAAAAAAACATTACATTGCATTACCTAAAAAAACAATATACCATGACATTAAAAAACACACATCAAACGATTAAAATAACTAAAAAAAAAATACTACATGAAGTCGTCATCCGAGAACTCGTCTTCCGGTTCATTCGGTGTAACGCCCGTGTTTCCAGGCTAGGCATTAATGATGATGTAATAGTCTAGGTTAGCCTTTGTAACCCATTTTGAAATAATAAGAATGTATTATTTGAGTATTATGTGATTTATGCCTAATTGTTGTGACTTAATTGGATTAAGTATAAATTAAGCGTTAAAAATAAAATGTTATATAAACCCGATATCTATGAAGGAAGTTGTAGTGGTCGTGACGAGGTTTCCGAATATATATAAAATGCCGAAATCCGAGTTATAACGAAGAAGTTATGACCTGTCGAAGTTTCGCGACAGAACCGGCGCGACACTGCGTGACGTAAATAGTGAATTTACGTTAGAGTGATATTTAGCCTTAGTGATCTAAACGGAAGTCGTAGAGTTCGTTAAACCGAGAGCGTGCATAAAAAACGTCTAAATCTGACTTCGTATGAGGAAGTTATGATTTTTCTAAGTTTCGACTTAGCGGTATGGAGCCCGAAACTCGAATATGAGATCGATTGATTTTTAGCCGAAACAATCTAAACGAGAATCGAATATCTCGTTGATAGTAGTCCAACGGAAGAAAGACAGACGAAAACGGACGTCAGGTGAAGAAGTTATGAATTTCTAACGAAGTTTTCCTGTCCCGGCCTACTAAAAATAAATAATAAAAAATAAAGTCAAAATTAGCCGACGGAGTCTAAACGAAAGTTGTAGAGTATAGTCTCACCTACGCGTGGATATAAAGAACGTCGAAAACGGAGCTCGTATGCGGAAGTTACGCAATTTTGAAGTTTGATTACCGGATTACGCCCAGCGTACGAGGAGGTACGCCCAACGTACCCGTATGCATGAACCGACATGGGCGACGTCGACCTGACCCAACACTCGAGTGCCCCGGGTCCGTAAGTAGTGACGCATTCGGTCTGATCCGCTTAGTACGCCCATCGTACCCGATGTACGCCCAACGTACTGCTTGTAGAGGGAGTACGCCCAGCGTACTCTGAGATTACGCCCGGCGTAATCCGATGCTCAACACCCTACAAATAGATGCCGTGGGCTGCCGAGTTTTAGTGCTCAAATTCTTCTCTCTCACTCGTTATTTCCTCGTTTTGCGTGCAAGTTATACCCCGAAGCCCCGGTATCATTCCCGAGACCCGAAGCGAGTCTCGAAGCCCCGAAGATCCCGAGAAGAAAAGAGTTTCCGAGCCGAAGCTCTGCCCGCGAGAAGCCCAGTTTTCAAGAAAGCATCCCGGTTTCACCGAAGAATACTACTCTTAGAGCCGTAGTGTTGTCCGATCATCTTCTGATCAAGTGAGTGCATAGTCCTTTTCATATACACGATTTTATTACAAGTATTAATGAATGTATTAGATATAAGTTATGAATGGGTGTGTTGTTGCTTTCTGCTAACACCCCTATATGAATCATTCTCTATGAAATACATGCTATGTGATTATATACTATTTGTTATGTGGTTTGAGTATTGAATAAATATGTTATACATGTTTTAAGCTGTATAAAAACAAGTGTATTTTTATCTACATATATGTTGGGTAGAACATGGATAGATAGTGATGTGTGATGAAATAAAAATAACGAGAGGCCTCGATGTGATTGTGATCTAGTCGTCCAGCAGAATATGGATGACGACCACAGACTTTTCTAGACAGTTCAGTGGAACGCTGGCATGCTCATAACCTGTAGGGTAGTGAACTTGGGTGTTCATTTGTTGTATTCTATCCCCCTCATGGTTGCCTTAGGACATTCATTGTTGAGGAAACCCCTCTGCAGTGGTGTCCGTCCCGATGAAAATCCTAGATTAGGTCCCTTGTAATAGTTGTTGTCATAGAGACGTAAAGTAAGGATGACGGGAATAGGTAATCGGGTTATTGTTCGTTGGTGAAATTAAATATAATTATTTATTGTGGGTTGAAAACTCTATATGCTCACCAGTCTCCCAAGCCTGACCCACTCAGTTTCTTTGTATTACAGGTAGTGGCGCGAGAGCATAAGTTGGAGAACTTGTGAAGATGTTTTTATTTATAGACCTGTAGTTGTATATAACTGTGTAAGGTCTATGTTTTATTATTTATGCTTTTGTGTTTGTATCGGAACATGACATCCCGAGTTTTGATATATAATGAAAATACATTTATTTAAGAAATGCTTTGATAAACTTTATTTTATCATGTTTTGTTTTGGGGACAAATTCCGCAACTCTTTTAAATCAATAGATTTACTCTGAAATTATTTTAAAAAGCATAAATGAAACCGGTCTTTTCTGGCCGTGATTTTGGGGATGTCACAGTTGGTATCAGAGCATTAGTTTAAGCGAACTAGGAATTTGTAGGATTTCTAGACTTAAACTTAGAATGCTAAGTGAAGATTGTGAGATGAGTGTCTGTTATATTTAAGACACGAGCACTAGTTTATTTTAGAAAAGTTGCCTAAAATGCTTTTATGTGCTAAATGTTATATGTTTGCCATATATGATATTATTTGTTCGGATCTATGGTTTGTTGCCAACCGGATCTGGAGACCTTATGTGTTTAGGATTCTAAGCGTAGGACTACGGTATTAGAACTAGCATGTAAACGTTTCGGAGTGATTTGGATAATTATCTATCGTGATTAAGGATCTAAATTCACCTTATTCGGTGTATAGATCAACGATGGCAAGAACAAGAAGTGGCGTTGGAAACGCAGACGAAAACAGGAATCAACGGCCTCAACCACCAGTGATTGAGCAAATACCTGTTGTAGCTGCTGCACCCGAGCCGATGACAATGGCTGGTGTATAATTGATGATTCAGACGATGTTGGATCGTCAGATGGAAGAAACGAGACGTCTGCTTCAGCAGAATCGTGAAGAACCTTCGATGCCGATTGTGCAGCCTGAATTAAGTGAAGGGCAGTCGGAAGGAGGAAACTTCAGTGGGATTATTGGTCAAGCCAAGCCACCATTGATTAGACAAAACCACCAGGAGGGAGGAATTGATGGACTAGGATGCAAGTACAAGGAATTTTTGACTTGCAAACCATCGACCTTCACTGG